TCAATTCTGACCTGAACATAGCTCACATGCAGATTCAGAGGATAACAGAAGTGATAGAGAACCATCTGAACAAAATCCATTAAAACTTGCAAGGAATGACAAAGTTTGTGATTCACAATATTAACATGGTGACCTGTTCTATAAAAGACTTGTAAATGATATACGTTTAGGTAATCTGTCAAGTTGTATTCATTTATGGCTTTCCAATCAGCAACTGAAAGATAATGTGTAATAAACAAGTGACTTCTGGCTTAATTGAAGTTAGTTATTAATTATAAGATTGATAACCAATAAGCTGTCTTAAGATGGCACAAATATTAGCATCCGGCTACTTCTTAGCCAACTCTGTAGTTTGATAATGTTACAGGATACAACAGGAAGGGCATGGGCATTCTAGGCAGGGGCCAACAGGGCCCTCTGTGCCACCCCTCCAAAAGGAGGAGACCCCCAAATAACAAATACACAGTATTTGAATCAACAACTGGACTCACAATCTAGTATTAAATACTGTTACTGAAACAAATATAAATCATGGTATTTTATGTTGTGGTATTAATGATGTGCGCTATTCATTGGCATAATACATATATATATATTATTTTTAGTGACCATCTTTGTCTATTTTTCACCTGCCACCACTGGGGAAGGAATAAAGCAGTAGATTTATGTTAACTAGCTTCAATAGCTAGTGTGAATAGAAGAGCTGAGAAGTTTGTTGAATGCTATTTTTAGAATTTTGACTTAGTCTTTACAAGTTAAAAGCTTGTAAAATATGTTGTTACCTTAAATTATGACTAATGTCAATTCTATTTGTCTTTTTAGTAGATGATCAATCAGAATCTTGTTTATAAAATTTGCAAAAAGATTGTATTCCATTTTAACATCCTACCCTGGGATATCAGTGGAAATTGGCAGATATGTGATAAAGTGAAGCAAACCACATGCTATAAATCAGGTTAACATAAGAAAATCTAATCAATTAATTATAAAACCTGCATGTAAACACACTGATAGAACTTTAGATTAACCCTGAGGCTCACCAGGCTCCAGCATTGTTGGTCATGTCCTCTAGTGATGTCATTCCCGTTCCTGTGGGGCGGGATAACCAGTAAGATGCTTCCAGTATGCAGAGCAAACAACCAAGCTTCCCCAAACGTTCAACATCTCCCCCAACAGGTGGGACGACAGAACTGCACTGAAGGGAGAAAAAAAAAAAAACAGCATTAATGTATTTATCCATTAATCCCATAGACAAAGAAAGAAATGTCTCGTTATTTAATCTGAACTCTACAGTATGTGTACAGAGTTAGAGTACGGTTTCGGTCTAACAGTGTGACCTTAAACAGTTTTTTTTAAATTTACTTTTAAGGAAGAATGTGCATTTTGATCCAGTAGATGTCGCCCAAAACAAACTGCTGTTTGGTGACACCTCCCCTACACTGAATCCTCCGCTCTCCACAGCGACACACCTCCAATCCCTCAAATTGGAACGCACCATAATTAAGCACTAAGCGATAAGCACAACGGTGGAAAAATTGTCCTTGAATCGAGCTGCATTGTTGTGTTAGCTGGCTCATGGTAGCGCTCTTTAGTTAGCTCAAAGCTTCTCGTTGCATGTAAATTTACACAGATTGACAATGATCTAAAAACGCTTATGTGACATTTAAATAAGCAGTGAGTACAGCATGGAATTCTTCTTTTCTCTTGTCCCTCACTTAAACTGCTTCTATACACAATGGGATGGCCAGCCGTCCCGTCCGTAAACGAGCTGTAAATACGGCTTAGACAACATCACAGACCGTGGTCTCGCCCTTCACACTCACTGTAAACAGTCATGACTCAGAGAGATATTTGCAGAGGATATACTGGATTTCTGCTGTATTTATGTGGAAAATGTTGCACATTCTGCCTTTAAAGACTCTCTGTGCTGATGGAGTGAAGCATAACTGAAACTTGAACTTTGTGAAGAAGGCTACCTGATGAGGACACTCAGAGCGCCAAGAGGAGTTACCAGGGTGGCAGGAGCAAACATGTAGGCGACAAAGTTACACACCTCACCAGCTCCCACTGCAGACACAGAGACAGAGATCGAGAGATAGAGAGAGAGAGAGAGACAGACAGAGGGAGATTGGAATCAACATGCAAATATTTTGTCAAAGCCCGGACAGTGTAATGTTTTTTTTTTAACCCTTAAATAATTGAACCCTTAAATAATAAAACATTTAAAATAGTTGACTTCTGGTCAACTTGACGATATGAGTCCAACAGGCTTTTTTTCTAGGTTCATCAAATTTCAGAATCCTAGGTTCAAAGTTCTTTGGGGGCTGACTTTTTTAAAAACATTGTAGGGGGCGCCACTGAGACAATACCAATATCAATTCTCTGATTGTTCTACCAGGTTTGGTGAATGTGCAACCTACTGTCTGTTTCATGGCGAAACAGGAAGTTGCCGACTGCCAATAGGTGGCACTGTGACTTACTGTAATGTCAGGGGCTCAGTGGTAGAGACGGCTGGTTAGACAATTAACCCCAAATGGATAAGTTAATACTGATGCACACTTTACTTTTGAAGTGGTGTGACATCACACTGCTGCTGGTCATCAACTAACATAATCAGTATCTCTCTGCTTACAATGTTTGTAGTAACCAAGGCTTTAGGACCTGTGAATCTCTGTGCTGCACATACATAGAGAAAGCTGTTAACAAAATTCATATAGCTAGATCTTTACTGTCATTGTGGTTCACAAGTACAGTACAACAAATTGGATGGCTAACTTTACCAGTGTAGATGGCATAAAAGAGATATAGATAATAATAAATATTTTAAAAACAAAACAACAAAACAGCTTATTTAAAACCCAAGATTGCACATTCACACACACTTTGCATATTGCACATACTCCATGTACAGTATATTGCACACACATATCTGACAGTGTAACATACAAAACGATTTCACAGTCACTGAATTATTAAACAACATACCATTTCTAGTTATTTTATTCCTCTCATATTGACTGAGAATCAATTATATGTACGTATAAATAATTTATAGACTATAAAATGAGATAAAAAATACTTACTGGTTAACAGGCCTCCCCACCACAGCCAATCCTTCAAGTAGCCGTGTCCTCCATCACCTACACACACACACACACACATTAAATGTAAGAAGTGTTATCTTATATACAAAGGCCCTTCCCTGTTGTATCCTGTAACATTATCAAACTACAGAGTTGACTAAGAAGTAGCCGGATGCTAATATTTGTGCCATCTTAAGACAGCTTATTGGTTATCAAATAGTATAATTAATAACTAACTTCAATTAAAGCCAGAAGTCACTTGTTTACTACACAAAACCATAATACCTCATTACTTTGGTCATGAAAAAACATTTTTAGGAAAAAATACTGTTACTAAAAATGACCAATTATCATAATTTTCATAAGAGGAGGATATGAGTGACATCTGGAGAATATGACGCTTACATTTATCAATGGTGACCTCATAACCATATTACACATCACCATTTACAATACGAATGCACACACAGTGACGGCCCGGTGTGTGCGGATTCAAACCCTACAGCAGCCACAATCTACGCATCTGTCAGACCACTGACAAACAAACAATCTCTTTTAACTTACCATTCAAATCCAGTAGAAGATATCAAAACACATTACATCCATAAAGATCCACGGATTGCTTTAAATTTACCTCTTCTGTTTCGCTGACATTTTGATGACACCTCATGACGGCCCATAACATCCAATGAGAGCCTTTGTTGAAAGGAGGTGCCGCCCCCTGTTCTGACAGCTAATTTCAAGATGCTGTGCCAACGACTGACACTTCTTATAGCCAATGAAATTCTCCAAACATGGATAAACTGTTTCTATCAATACTTCAGGGTGATTTCTTCATGCACACACTAAGGAGATTGGTTTTCAGAACTGCATTTAAATTAACAATGATTAGATATTTATACCAAAATAGGCTATGAGCCATGAATTATTGGGAGAAAACCAGCAAATCCATGTAAAGTAAGACATTGAGCACCCCCAGTCGATTGAGGCTCTCCTTTCATTCTGACAGCCCTCATGATCCGTTTCTTGTCCACATAGTTAAGGAGTTTTTTTTAATCACCACTCCGGGTTGCGAAACAAGCTGAACTTCAGCGTCATTAGCTTTAAAGTCTGTGTGCTCTCTCAATCAATAGCAGCCTAGAAAAGTTACCTACCCCAAGCACCTCAGGCAGCTACTCTTAAAAATGAACACAAGCCAGTTCCTTCCTTCCCTTCAGGGTGACCCACGAGACGAAGGTTGGAGAGACAACTGCAGCAATCCCATTTGACACTAATTATGTCTTCAGCTTCAGTGATACGCAATGTCCCAGCTTTCAGTTCACCCTGTATAACTTTGAGTTGCTTTTAACACTATCAAATCTCTGTATAAAGGGTTGGCATGTTGTGTGGGTTTATAGCCATGATAGCATCCACAGCTTCCTGTCTGCTGGTATTATTGACATTTTGAACTTCACCTTGCACTTGGCAATAAAGTACGTGGTATTCTGAAATAATAAGGGTTGTTTAGTTTAATTCTTCAGCCTTGATAGGGGAGTCCAAACACAACCGCACCATAAACAGAAGTCATCAGACTTATCATCATACATGCATATCCATTTTATTTTCTAAAACAGAAATAAGTAGAAAAACATCCTTTTTTCCTGTTAGATTTAACTCTAGCCTTCATAATACTAAAAGTATCTCACCAAGATTCTAAATTTGAACTCTATTGTTGTTCGTTTGTTTGAGAACACACTAATAATCTTCATTGTTGTGTTTTTGTAACATTAAATAATTCCCATTTATAATATTGGTCATTTTAAGGTAACAAACTAAATATTAAAAATAAAAAAAAATAAAAAACATTATTAGCTTCCATGGTCGCTGTCTGCTTTTGTTGTTAGGTACCCCAAACATTTAGATTATGTTTCCTGAAAAGCAGCTCAAGTCAAGTGATCAAACATTTTTATCTCTAACTGGTCTCATGGTTGAATAGTAGAAAAGAAAACATTTGTACATGTTTGAGACAACTGACGACTGATCTCATGTCCAATCCACATTCTTCTGATTCTTTTTAGGGTAATCTTTTTCCATCAAGGAAGTCACCTGATTTAAAGCAATCGTTTACAACCATCTTGAAAAGGCTTCAACCTTTGTACAGATTTGAAGTTGATTGAGGTGAAAAATGTTTGTCTTTGTTCAGTAAAAAACTATCAAAAAGGGTTGTAAAAAGACCAGGTTTTAAAAACTTTGATACAGCTCTAGTAAAACTAATAAAATTATGATCCCTGTTTTGATACCACAGTAACTAAAAAAGTCCTGGTCACCAAAAAATTGGGTATTTTTTTGTTTTAAGTTAACAAAAATTGAAGGCAAACTCCGGCACACTGTCTAGATTGTAGGACAATTAGGACAGTGCTCTCTCATTCTCTCACAGCAGCTTTTGATTAGAAATACGACGGAGGGGGACACCTGAGGCCTAGTGGACGGTGCGCCTGAATCATACAGAGATTCAAGTCCTCGAAGGCTAACAGCCCATGTTTGGAATCTGACCTGTGGCTCTTTCCCGCATTTCATTCCCCACTCTCTCTCTCCCCCCAATTTCTGAATCTATCCACTGACATGTCTCTCCAATAAAGGCATAAAATATGATGGATGATCAGAATTTTTCGGGGGTATTTTTAGATAAAATCTATGATTAAAACAATTTAAACGTTTCAAAACATGTGTTATGATCTAAGTATGGAATACTTTGACCAGCTTACTTTCAAACAAGTGACACAGAGGTTAAATCCCTGGAGATACAATTAAGGATGCACTGATCAAATTTTCTTTAACAACTGCTGTGAAAAGGAAGAAAATGTTATCCCTTCTTATTTCCTTGTTCGTCTCTTAGTTTTTCTTATTTTCAGAGAAAGAACTCAACACGGTCAATATCGATGTGTCCAAAAATGCAACTGCACAAAAGAAGTAATGCTGAAAACAAATAAATGACACACAAATGTCAAAATCTTGTGGAAAATAACTTTTTCTTATAATGAACATCATTTTTACATATCAAATGAAAACAGTCAGTCATGTTCAGGATTGAGACCTCTTTCTCCTTAACATGTTACTTCAAAGAAATGAGTTCAGTCATCCCTCTGGGCTCACCTGCTCTGGTTTGTCCGTTTCTGGCCAAACGGAGGAGAGCTTTCTTCTTCAGGATAACACTCCCACCAATCAGGAAAGCGGACAGCAGAGCGAGAGTCAGACCCAGCCACAGGTTGTAAGAAGTGTGTATCTGTAAATCTGCAGACAAACATTCAGTCAGCTGAGTGTGTGTTCATGAGGGTGTAGGCATGCAGTGTGTGTGTTTAATGACACTATCAGACCTGAAAAATAACACAAAGAATGCACTGTATTCAGTTGTGATTAATGATTACACTGAGCCATGTTTGTGGACGTGGAATATTTTTCACTTGACCAAATCCAAGCTTTAAAGAGTCTGAATCCGAAACTGCAGCAGAACAAGCTCTGATCTGAAAACTAGGAAGCGTCTGACGCTTCAGCGTGGCCACAGAGCCCGTGCATCCACGACTACTGCTTTGCCTATTTTCTCTGGTTATCTGCTATATGCAACATGTGCTACAAAGAAATCTCTGTCATTTATGGGAACAGGAAAAGACACATCTGTCATAGACAACGAAATCTTAACAACTTGTCGCTGCTTAAGAAAGCCTCTTCTACCCACCCTTCATTTACTTTTGGCCTCTGGAACTGTCAATCTGCTGTGAATAAAGCTGAATTCGTCCAAGCACTTGCAAAAATGTCAGACATTCAGGCACTTGCCCTTACTGAAACCTGGATCCACCCAGAAAATACAGTCACACCAGCTGCCCTTTCTGTTGACACAGTGTTCTCACACACACCCCGCTCTGTTGGACGTGGAGGTGGTACAGGTATCATCATTTCTAATACCTGGAAATTCAATAAACTCTTCTGACTGAGCAACAACTCCTCATTTGAATATCACACAATCATGGTAACTGCTCCTATTAAAATGTACATTTACCGCCCACCAGGGTGTAATCTGAATGATTTTGTTGTGGAACTGGACATGCTACTCTCAGAAATCCCTGATGATGGCACACCACTGATTGTAATGAGAGACATGAATATACACACTGATAAAGCCCAGGCAACAGACTTCCTTGCTCTCCTATCCTCATTTGACCTCACACAGGTCCCAACCCCTCCTACCCACAAAGCTGGCAACACTCTTGATTTAATCCTGACTCGGAACTGCTCGACAGCAAACCTGACTGTCACCCCCCAGCATCTATCAGACCACTTCTTTAATCAATTCACAATCTCCTTGCCGGAACTCCCTCAGGCACAGCCACAAATGGTGTCATACCACCAAAACATGCGATCGCTCAAGCCAGCTCAGCTGTCTAACGAGGTAATGGCTGCCATGCCTGCCCAAAAGGTCTTTAACGCACTCTCTACAGTCGAGGATACAGACACACTCTGCTCCACACTAGCCTCATCTCTGAACAAGCTCTGCCCTCTGGTGTCCAAACCCGCTCGCAAAACCCACCCTAGCCCATGGCTCACGGAAGTCATAAGAGAGCAAAGAGCAGGGCTGAGGTCAGCAGAGAGAAAATGGCAAAAATCCAAACAGTCCGCTGACCTCAATGACTATAAGCAAAGACTTGTCTTATTCTCCTTCAGCCTGAAAACGGCTGAGACAACATATTATCAGAACAAGATATGCAATGCCACAGATACTTTTTTTTCTGCTTTTAACTCACTGCTTCAACCACCTCCTCCTCCACCCTCCGATCTGTTCACACCAGACATGTTTGCCTCGTATTTTACTGAACAGGTTGCAACCATCAGTAACCAGTTTTCTGCCCAACTCAGCCCAAAGGCACCAACCAAAAGTGCCTCACTCGACTCATTCTCCTCTCTGACTGAGGATGAAGTCTCTAAGCTTGTGCTAGACTCTCGGCCCACCACCTGTCCTCTAGACCCAATACCATCAAGCCTCCTGCAGACCATTTCCTCTCTGCTTAATGCTGCACTTAAGCATATCATCAACTCCTCTCTGTCAACGGGTGTGTTCCCCACCGCATTCAAGCAGGCTCGGGTCACCCCTCTGCTCAAAAAACTCACACTAAACCCAGCCCAGGTTGAAAACTACAGACCGGTTTCTCCTCTGCCCTTTCTGTCAAAAATACTTGAGCGCACAGTCTTTAAGCAAGTCTCCGAGTTCCTGTCCAGAAACGATCTGTTTGACCCAAATCAGTCAGGCTTTAAGCGGGGCCACTCTACTGAAACTGCACTACTGTCAGTAGCAGAATCGCTACGAGCTGCCAGAGCTGCGGGTCAGTCCTCAGTTCTATTACTTCTAGACCTGTCTGCTGCCTTTGACACAGTCAACCATCAAATCCTCCTATCCACGCTCTCTGAACTTGGCATCTCAGGATCTGCCCTGTGCTGGTTCGTGTCCTACCTCTCTGGGCGATCCTTTAGAGTGTCATGGAAGGGAGAAGTGTCCAGAGTGCACAGCTTATCCACAGGGGTACCTCAAGGATCATTGCCTGGTCCCCTTCTCTTCTCCATATACACAAGCTCACTTGGTTCAATAATCTGCTCTCATGGCTTCCCATACCACTGCTATGCTGACGATACCCAGCTCTTCCTCTCTACTGGCAGGTCTTCCTACATGCACTATCAAACCTCTGCAAATGATACAAAATGCAGCAGCATGACTGGTCTTCAACCTTCCTAAAAGAGCACATGTCACTCCGCTATTCATCTCCTTACACTGGCTCCCAGTTACTGCTCGCATCAAATTTAAAACTCTGCTGCTCGCTTACAAAACAGATGATTTTAATTGAAGAAAGAAAATATCTTTTGAAAATGTATTAGGCCTATTATTTTTTATGTTCATAGACACCATCCACTTTATCATAAATGTTGTAATACTATTGAATTCTACATTGAAGTCTACTCACATTCATATATCTACCAGGCTCCTTCAAAATGTCACTGAATCATACCACAAGTTAGACATTATAATGTTCTGGACCTTCACTTGAGGACATTTTTTAGATCCGAACCTCGTTGAATTTTAATTGAATACCACTGTTTAAATATGCTTTCATACTTTCTGCCCACCAAAAGGTAAGGTGAAAGAAACCTTTAACCTCACAGTTTTACTTTAAGCTATATCTTCTACATGCAAACAATGGACCTATTTTTTCTCTTCCTCAATGAGCTGTGATAACAAGGAAGTTTTCCTCCTGTTAACAAAGGATTTCATTGTCGATTAAAGCAAAATCAAAAAACACATTATCAGGTTATTCTCTTTCACACACATGATATGTTCCTCAGTGAGCCAGGTAGATTCATTCTGCTGGCATCTAGCTTCTAAACAACCCTGCTAAACACATGTTCTTTATTGTCTTCTGGTTTGTTAAAAGCTAATTTTATTTTAATGTACTTTTTGCAGTGTTACATGTAGATTGTGTTCTACTGACTGTAAAGTTCTGGATATACATTTATAGTGCACACTTTGTTAAAACAAATGTAGTCTATACATATCTGCTATGAATCCTTCATCATGAAAGACACAGACCCTAACCCACGACTTGTACCTGTTGTTTGATTGTTGTTGTCCAGGTGTGTATTGAACACCGGTTGATCCCCAGAGACCACACACACTGCGGACTGAGAGCCACACCACAAACGCACCACAGACCCTGCAAAGAGAGAGAGAGAGAGAGACAGAGAGAGAGAGAGAGAGAGACAGAGAGACAGACAGAGAGAGAGAGAGAGAGACAGCGAGAGAGAGAGAGAGACAGACACAGAGAGAGAGACAGAGAGAGAGTTAGCCTGTTAGTGTTCTGGGAGTATTTCAATGTGTCATGGCTTAAACATTATTCAAGGAGAAAATACATAAAAACACTCAACAGGAATATGAAAGGTTTTACACCAGAGTATTTTTTGTAAAGTAACTAAATATATATATGTAGCTTTAAAGGGAAAATAAATAAATATGAGTGATGTAATCTACAGTATATCAGAACTTAAATGCAAAACAAAGATTCAAATACTTTGGGCTGGACCACATTGGGCCGGACTTTCTATTTGTGTTTCTATCTGACCTCTGCACTGCAGAGAAAGAACCTGTCTTAATGATGATATCCACACAGATGTCAGCATGTTTTACGGATTCAGTTTACATCTAAATCCAATCCAAAAACGATGAGAGACGCTCCTTATCCTCAAGGGAGGCCCTCAACATTTGAGAACATTTACAAGATATTTTGTATTAAGGCTGTGATATATTAGCTCATAAGTAGCTTCTGTAATAATTCATTTATTGGAATCTGCAGTACAGACAATGTTTGATTAATGCCTGTGTCCACCAGTCTCAGATCGCTTCTCACCAACACAGTATACTATAGTAAAAGCAGATGCAATGATCCAATACCAAAAACCAGCTGCTTTGAAGTGAAGTATCGTGGGACAATAACCCACAACAACAGTCTGGTGCTAGCAGAGACAGTTATGTCAGTCAAAGTGAGTATAATGTAAATATTAGTGTTTTTCCACCAGCAACATGTTTATTTTTCAAATCAAACTTGTCTGAGGGGTAATCAATTTGGCTCATATTCAATCTAGGAATCAGAACGGGCTTCAGGAAGACAAAAATAGTACCACAAAATGTTGTTCTCAGAGTGTTTCCGGCCACAATTAATACAACAAAATGTTTATTACAACTGCAAAGTAAATTACAATTTCATCATTACCTCAATATGAGCATCACAATAAATACATGCTCAATTCTGAATGAATGCAACAAAGTTCTGCTTTTAAACTCAGCTGGTGCACATTTTAATTGTTGGTCGGCCTGAGTGTGAATGGTAAATGGTCATGAGCTTGTATAGCGCTTTTCTAGTCTTCAGACTACTCAGAGCACTTTCACACTATATGTCATGTCACACCCATTCACACCCATTCACACCCATTCACACACTGATGGCGGAGGTTGTTATGTAGTGAGACCATCAGAAGTAACTAATCCCATTCATATGCATTCACACCGCCGATGAAGCAGCCGGAGCAAGTCAGGGTTAAGTGTCTTGCCCAAGGACACATCGGACATGTTGCTGCAGGAGCTGGGGAGACAACGACTAACTGAGCCACAGCCGCCGAAACAGAAACTGTAAATCATAGCTAATCTGCACTCTTATTAATATTGTTTTTGGCACTTCATACCGCTATTGCAATGTTGAGAAATGCAACTGCACGCAGTGTTTTTTCTCATATTGTGCATTTGTATCATATTAGCTGACCTGGTTCAGATTAAGTAACCAAAAGACAACACAGAGCTTTTGGAACAATAAGACATAATCCCCAATCAGTTGTTGTCCAGGGAAAATTTCTATAAACTTTATTCACATTAGAAAAAAAGTCCTCAACAAAAAGCAGAGAAAGACAAATTAAGCAAATCTGCTATTAATCAAACAATCAATCATTATTGTATAGCGCCAATTCATAACAAGTGTTATCTCAAGATGCTTTACAAAAGAGCATATGGGATAATATGCAGGAAGGATTTCTCCTTTGTATTCCTCACGTTCCTGAAGTCCACAGGACTATGCGCATAAGAAGATTGAAATACAGTAAGAAAAGATACAATTAGAATGGGAATTTTTTTAAATGCCTCTTGGGATTATTTTTTGGTTTCTCTGCTTTTTTTTTCTAAATGATCAATAATCTATCAGATTTTTACAGAGTTGACCTGACAGGAAGTTTCTCAAAAATCCTAAATAAGACAAAACGTCCTCGTTACTACAGCTTCAACAGACAAAGAAAAAAAATAATTAATGTAAGAGAGAGAATGATGTGAATAGATTTTCTTTGTTAGCTGAGCCTCTCTCTCTCCTCTTTTTGAATACGATTATCTATACAGACGGGTTGTGAAATACAGGTTTGACCACCGAAATGTTTAGAGTAACATGAGGAGACAGAAGAGTTTAATATTTACACAGTAAACACTGAGGCCTCAGTACACACATCACTGTCTGTGCAGCAGTAACTCAACACAAAGTGGAAACTAATAGGTTTCTATGTCAGATGTTAAACATGCTTCAGTATCGATATAGGAAGATTAAATGCAGGAAAATACTGGAAGAAAAAACCTGGACATGAAGTCTATGACTCATATTTAATTATAGTTTCCATAAAGTTTCTTAAGATTATTCTGCAGTAGCTTTACAGTTCACCTGGTGCACTTTTTATTTCTTAACTCCAAAAATCTGCTGATGCAACTTAACACTCGACTGATTTTGAAAAATGTTATTTATCTGCAGATTAGCGGTCAAATTAAACATCTAAGATACTGTCAATTACAAGCTCACTTATACAGCAGTATCATCATTTCTTTAAACTATAGTTGCAATAGGCAATTTGTGTCACAAAACTTCAATCAGTAAAACATTTGTAGATTTGGAGTAATTATTATCAATCCAAATACAGTTCTGTATCAAAAGCCTGATTGTTTACACATAGAGGATTAAAGCCCTTAAATAACATATTTTACTCCCTGCAGCTTGTCTTGACAAATGAATTAATCTATTAATGAAGAACGCAATTGTCAGATTATAAAAATATACAGATTGTAAATTGCACCGCTATAAAGATATTAAGTAAGCAAAGGTAATGAGAAGTAAATATCCTGACTTCATATTTAGGGGCGCTGGTGGTGCAGTGGTTAGTGCCCGCCCCATGTGTGGAGGATATGGTCCTCCAAGCGGGCGGCCCAGGTTTGAATCCCACCTGTGGCTCCTTTCCCGCATGTCATTCCCCACTCTCTCTCTCCACTGTCCTATCTCTCCATTAAAGGCACAAAAAGTCCAAAAATAAAACTAACTGAAGTTAGCCATATTCATTTATTAGAGAGGTTTTTCTGGAAACTGTGAGCGCACACAAGCAGCCCCCAGCTCGCACAGAGCAGCTCTTCTCTGAAATTGGGGAAACTTTTGACACATTGGGGCTGGAGACCTTGGATGGAACTAGTCCATTAGTAATTGTTTACTTTCAACACCATCACGCCCACATAACATAACAGTTTATTTAAGTTAGTTTACTTTGTATCTTCAATCATTTATTGACAAGAGAGACTGAGCAAGACGAGGAACTGAATTTATTTTTCAGATGGGAAAGTAGTTTTACAGTCAGAGAGTAACGTTATAGTTTCAGTAGACTAGCTGTGACATTTAAAACCAGTCCGGCCTGGCAAGAGAGCTGAGCGGGGTTTTGCCTCCTTCGCTAACACAACTCATGTCCTTAAAGCCGAACAGTAGGGATGTAACAATGTCAAAGTCTCATGATACGACCATGTTGCAATAACAAGTCCATGGTAGGCCCTACTATATTTATTCGCATTTTAATAATTGAAGACTAGGAAATAAATGCTGTTTCTTAAACAATGGCTAGACATTGAAACAGGGGTATGAGGGTCAAATAGCCTAAGTCTCTTTTATAAAACAACAATTGCACCAGCTGGACCTTGTGAACAAAAAGTCATACCGTAGGCTATGACATTGAATAACTTTTCTCCCTCACCATCCAGGGGGTGTGATCTGGCCCTCTGGAATGCCAGGGAGTGTGCCAAAGTATTTATTCAATTCAAAGGACAACCCACACATTATTTAGAGCTGTTATTTTTTACAAAGAGCACATCTCCCGATACAAATATAAGATGAATAGGATAAATCATTGCAAAACAGTGCTGTGCTGAGAGCTGCTGGAGTTGTCCCCATATAGGTGGGATATGTAACAGCATTTGGGGGCAATTGTAACCATGAAAATGCACTGTAGCCTATCTAAAACAAAAAGCAACCTTAAGTTAATCACATTTTTAGACTTTAAGTAGGTCATATGTCTATGACATGAATTGAGTCTAGACATAGTCTATATCAGTTTCTAAATAAAGCTATAGGTGTCTCTTCTGTCCAATAGGCTTAGGCCTACAAAAACACCAGTTTGTGCAAAAAAAAAAAAAGTAAAGTAAAGCTAAATGATAGGCTTAAATGTAGAGACATCTAGGCTATGAGCCTATTTAACGGTGGAGTTCAGAAAAACAAATGAAAGGAGTTTTAAATGAAAAGAAGTGTAAAAGTAGGCTTTATGTAGACTACATTAAGGCCAACTTTGTCCTACATTTGTGTTTCCTGGCCAACGAAACATGACAGAGACATTAGGCTGGCCTACAGACAAATAAAATCATGAGAGATGTATTTTGCTTACCGTTGCCGCCGCACGTCTCATTGTTCAGGTGAACGTCTCGCATCGTGTTGCTATGATGGAGAAAACAACGTGAGGAAGAAACAAAACACAAAACGTCTACAAAGCGAGCAGAACTTTCTCCAGGTACATTGGGCCGGACCACAGACTGTGGACCGGACGTGACGACAAACACAGAAGGGCTCCTTTTTATCCTCTCTGCTGTCTGAATTTACAGGTGAGCCTAACAGGTAACTTTACAACGCCGACAGAACAGACAGCAGAGAGGAGGAGAACGTAAACAAAGCGACACCTGACCCCGCCCAGCCGCGCCCCGCCGGGACGACCCACAGCAGGTGTATCAGCTTTCAGACCCACGGGCATTAGACATAAATACAACAAACTGGAGGGGGAATTATCATTTAATTGAAAATAAATCATCACCATTAATACAAGTAAACGAGCTTTAATTGAATCATAGGAGAACTAGGAATCATAACGAAAGTGCCTATTTGATTAGGACTTTTACATGAAAACAAATGTTACCCTATAGGGACCTGTAGGCCAATGAGGCTGAAGAAGTGTTCCACTTTGCAATGAGTGGTTGTGCGATTGTGTAGCTTCTTGAAAAAAAAATAAAAAATCAAATGCAAAAAAATGTTAACGTATGGAATGTATCGAAATTGTGAGATAATAATAATAAATGACTTTATTATCTCATGATTTCGATTTTTTTATCTCATAATTACGACTTTCTATCTCATCATTACGACTTTCTATCTCATTATTATGACTTTATTATCTCATAATTTCGATTTTTTTTTTTTATCTCATAATTTTGATTTTTTTATCTCTCTTTTTATTTTTTTTAACTGGCGGAAATGGGCTTCCATACTAAATGGGGTTCACAAAATACAAAACGTTGTCTGTGTGGTTATCAGTCATCCAGGTCATGGTAAATTCGCTTGATTCAAAGGCAACTGGACTGGTTCAAGATCTTCAACCAGAAAATATACGAAACGTTATATAATACTTTCAATCGGAATGAATTAAAAGAAAATCAAAAATGTCAAATCTTTTGACATGAGTTAAGGCCTTTTCATGCTATATTTCATTAATATTGTAAAAATATTGTTAGCCTTTTCTTGATTAATTGTGAATTCATAAAATAGATACATAAAACAGTCTTCAACACCTGTGATGTCAGAAGGAGAGATACCGCAGGTCCTTCCTTCCTGCTGCAGTCACACTGTTTAACCAAGCCTGCTCCCAGTAGATCACAAAAACACACACACAAAACCGGATAATTCACTACATTGTGCAATAATATTATTATATTATGTTTATCATGCCACCTTGTTCAATAACGGGTTCCACTTTATAGGCCTATTTATATATTTTTTTATATTTCTTATTCTGTTTAATTGTGCACTGTGTGTTTCTCTTGTTGGCCATCCTTGCTCTTTGCTGCTGTAACACTGTAAATGTCCCCGTTGTGGGAAGACTAAAGGAGTATCTTATCTTATCTTATCTTATCTTACAGGAACATTGATTTGAAGTGGAACTACTCCCCCTTGTGGCTGATCACAATAGAATCGATGGATTATGCTTATTAAAATAATGAACACATCGGAAAACACTAATTCTCTTTACAAGTGGTTTCTTCCTGATAACCTAGGGACAACAGAATTTTGTCATGTGTTTGTTTGTATTTCAAAGTTTTAACCCCTTATTTATTGCATGCATCTTGTTATAGCTAAAATATCAAAGAAACATTTATTCTCCTTAAATGATTTAATTTTTACACTGACACCTGCCCTCTTGAGCTAATGAATATAGTATGTATGTTAGGGTTGTGCGTTGCTCTGTATTTTCATTTGCAGTGCCTGGGATTTTCTTAGATAGATAATTAAATGTATATCTTTACAAAGAAAAAGAGCAGGAAAGACAGGTTACAAATACTGAGCAATAAATTAGAAGAGACTTGAAAAGACAATAACAAAAGTGTAATTATAATAGTAATATTAATAAGAATAATAAGAATAATAATAAGAAAATGAGTAAAAAGAACAAGAAGCAGAAAGAGAGGAAAAGAAAAAAGCAAGAAAAGATAATCCTTGTTTGTCGGTATGAGAAGCAGAAGAGAGGATTGAGAAGGGTGTTTATGTGCAGACATTTATTTGTTATGGTTTCCTCCTTTAAGGGCTTACCATCAAATTGTCAATGGAATCTTTTGTCAGTCAGCCTACGTTCATTTTTTGTTTTAATGCATCCGGACTTCAGTATGTTTTTTCATATGAAAATGGTATGATTGAGAGCCCATCTGTGAAAAAAATGATGATTGGTAAAAGGATTTAAGCTTGTGTAGTGCTTTTCTAGTCTTCTGACTACTCAAAGCGCTTTAACGCTGCACACCCATCCACACACTGATGGCTGAGGCAGCTATGTGACGTGGTCATATTAGGTAATCCCATTCATACACATTTATACGCTGCCAACAAACAGCGGGAGTGTACTGCCGAAGGACATGTTGCTGTAGGAGCTGGGGATCAAACCCTCGACATTCTGGTTCAGAGACGACCGACTCTAACAGTGATCCACAACCGGCAATAGATATCGATATTCAGCCACGGCCTGCTCCGACCTCACCCCTAATTAATGTAAGTTTGAAATATTCAAGAACGCAGTGGATAGAAATGTACTTAACTGTGTCCTGTGGAAATTTTCATTGGTGCCACTTAACTAAATTTATTTGGGATTATTTGGCTTCACCGTGAATTTAACTGTAAATCTTTACAAATGCACTTTCTAATGATGTTCCATAAAGGCCTAGTTATTAACAAAAATAAATAAATGAGTATACAAAAATACAGCAAATCAATGAACACATTTCAAAAAAGTTCTCAATTCATGAAACTTTATTTCTTAGGAAAAAATAATTTCATCCATTTCTCTGCAATTCATTTAACAGCAATTGGTTTTCAGAGAGAGGACAGCACTGCCTCTTCTGAAGCGGGAGGAGGGGGTGTAGACTATGCTAGCCAAGAAGCTAAGCGAGGCTATACAAAGCCAGGCCTTAGTTACAGTAGTTCTGCAGGTCGAAGAGGTTGCAGGGTCTGTGGCAGCACTGCTCCACAATGCCGCGCTTAACCATCATCTCCATCTGGTCCTTGAAGGGCAGGTCCTTAAAGGCGTACTCCGCCACCTCGTTCTCGCCGCCCGCTGTTGCCGCTCCACCTGCACTCTGAGGGAGGAAACCTGCCGGGACAAACAAACGGACGTTCAGAATGGAAGTCATCACTAGCCCCATTCAGACTGTCCGTTTAAAGTGCTCCCTATTTGCACCACTCTGACGTCTCTCCTTCAATATGAATGTCACGGTGGTGTAATTGGGGGATGAAGTGATCCCACCACTGTACCGCTATCGGAGGTAGTAACAGAGGCGTTGCAGGGTAAAGACAGGATCGGCTGAGCCAGCGGGGGAGATAAGCGCTGTGTGTGTGTGTGTGTGTGCATGTACATGTTTCATTACATGCAATGCTTTCACAATGCTGAAATGTGAATTCACAGACTGGGACACCAATATTATGCTGCTGTGGAATCAATATGAACGTACAAAGACTGACAGCAGAGCTTCGTTGCAGCACTGTTGTGAAATTGCACTCTGAAAAGGGCCACTGACTGAAGACTAGGGACCGTGCTCTCTCCTGTTATGTTCACCCTGCCCTAAGGTTGACTTTCATTACAACTCTGAGCTCTGCCACATGCAGAAATATTCTGACAACACTGACACTGATTGTTGGTTGTGTCAGGGATGGACAGGAGGGGGAGTATGGGAGCCTGGTTGAGGACTTTGTGAGGTGAGAATGGTGGGATGAAGTCGCTATGACACTGATCTGCTATTGGAGGAAGTGACCTGGCCCCAAAAGCGTCTAGCTCTTTGCCTGTTTCTCAGTTGACCTAAAGTTAGTTTGAGGCAGCATTTCCAACATGGCGACTGCCAGTTTCAAGCTTACTCTTCAGAAACCAATGGGTGACGTCACCAAGACTACATCCGCATTTTATAGTCTATGGCCGTACTTCTCGGGCCTCTGCAACGCCATAACGCTACAGTAGAAATCACACACTGCGTCAGCAATGAAGGTTGTGGATGCAATGTAAAAGTACAAAGAAGTAATGACAGAAAATCTTCGTTATGTTTGTTCATCGTGTTTCAGAAAAGAAAAGTATAAAGGCCATAGTAATACAACGCATCAAGCTGACTTGCTGCATGTAGAGTCTACAGCTATTGCTGATTTCCTGCTCTTCTACCTCACTGGGCCTTTGAGCAGTGTAATAAAATAAACATTAAACCACATATTTCAAGAAGAAGATAATAATAAAATATATATACCACAATATAACAATACAAACATTGTATAAAGCAAATAAATGAGAAATTAAATTTATAGCAACCTAAAAATGAACACAGCTCTACTTTGCTGTTAGCCAGCTCTTGGTAAGTTGAAAGTCCTTTATGGAGAAAGCTGGTAAGGTCGAACACCTCTCAGTTATGGCAGAGGAGAAACATGCAGAAGTCATTTACTCTTGGACTTAAAGCATTTGGATTGCACAGCTGTTTCACAGATAAAGCTTGTTTTGGTGTATTTATGTGAACTTACTGGAATACGTATTACACAATTACACCTCAAAATATACACAGACTTTGACTATCTACTTGTCATGTTTAACTTTGCACTACCTCCGTACAGACACTGCTGTGCCAGAAAAAAGAAAATGCGCAGCTGCACAATACGTGTCTCTTTCAACTTGTTGTACAGGTCTGATTTTTAAATTAGTTTAAAAAGTATAAAATTGATTTAAAAATGTGCACAGGTTTTATTTAAACTTTTGTTAAGGGTTCCACATAAACAGATGAGGCAGAGTGTTGGTGAATGTTAGATGTCGTTTCATGTCATGTTATGAATCTATCTATAAGAAGACTAAAACAATTTAAAAATCAGATATGAAAATAAACACATAGTTTAGGTTTAGTGCATCTTGTAGTCTCTTTAAGCCCAGCATCTCACCCATCAGAGTGTCGGCGGATCTCTTGGGGTTGTAGAAGAAGCCTCGCTCCCCGCAGACCAGGTAAAGGGCGTCGACCAGGTGAGAACCGCACAGGTGCTGAGGAGAGGGGACGGACTGAGTGCCCGGCCACGACACAGCCAGTAAGACCAGCAGAAACACGGACTGGAGACCCAGAGCTGCCATACTGGAGGAGAGCTGAAAAAACACACACGAACAACAATTCTAAACAATATGATGCGATAAGATCACTTAGATTGAGATGCAATAAGAGAAGATAGGAGAGGGTGTAATATGATGCAGTACAATACAATCTTATGCGATGAGTGTTTATGATGTGTTTCTTATCACATCTCATATACGATATGATTATTGCCCCCTTGTAGGAATATTTGCCTTAGACTTAAGTGCTGCACACATTTAGCTGCCTCTATAGTCCTCCAATTTAGCCCACTAATAAATAAATAAACACTACTACTGAAGCTAAAGTATATGCAGAAATTTCAGTTAATTTAAAAAAAAAATTTTTAGAGTGTAGTAATAAGATAAAATACAATAATCAGAAGATTATTTTCTGAAATCAAAGAAGTTTTAGGAGAAAGAGAAGGGGTAGAAAATACAGAAGTGGAGAGCAGCTCACCTGTAGATTAAGGAGGAGGTGTAATCAGGAAAGGGGTGAGGAGTTGGGTAAAGTGGACAGAGGAAGAGAGCTCATAGTAGTCAGAGGAGCAGTCAGTACCTGAGGAGGATTAGATAGAGCAAGGAGAGAAGGGAAACTCAGTGTAGAGTAAGAGGGGGAGGTGAAGATGGAGAAGACAGAAAAGCATCTGAATTGAAAAAGAAGGACATGTAAAGGAGGAGGACAGCACAGCTCTAGATTTGGAAGAGGAGACAAAGGAGTAGACCAAGGGAGAGGGAAGAGAAACTCACCTGGAGGAGGAGGTGATCCTGTGATGAAGAGGTGAAGCAGGGATTGCTGAGAGCTGAAGGGTTTGAGGCAGAATCTAAATTCTCTTCTTTATTTATACTCCACCAGCACCCCCTGGACACGCCTACTGCTTTGTGTGTATGTGTGTGTGTGTGTGTGTGAGAGAGTGTAGGTTTACTTCTGATTGACTGCTCACATCACTTAGTAAAACAAACAGCGCTAATGAGCCGACTTGATCTGATCACCTGTGATAGACAAACATTGCTCATCAGTCAGCCAGCTGAGCTCAGCAGCCCACCAGAGAACACAGATTTATTTTAATAATGTAGGGAACAAAGTTGTAGTTTGTTGTGCAGTACATCTGGAGCTGTGCGGCCATTTTCAGCTGATTATTAATCTCTTCGCTGAGCTGGTACACTTTCAGCTCTCATATAACCCCATTTCAGACTTCAACAAAACTTTTTCGGGGTGAGTTGCATGTATGAATGCAAACGGCCAAATTTTTAACCCCAACTTTACCCAGAATGTTTCCTGCCAGTCCTCTTGTAAAATTTCCCTAGAAAATATTCCGGAAAGCTCGTGTCTGAGCTGAAGTCGTCAAGTACCTTTGACCTGTGCCACACCAGTGTGATCTTCTGATGTTATTAAGGTACTTCATATTCTTTTAGGCTCACCAGTTTGTTATTTTCTACTCATTCATTGATACTGTGATACAACAGTGAGTTCAGACCAAGAAATCTGATTGGACAATATGTATTCTATGAGTGACAATATAGGATAATAACATCACTAGGACTTTTCACATCATGTATCCCTCCTCCTAAGCCTGGATTTCTGTATACTTCTGTATCTACAGCGTTCAGCCTGCTGCCTTGTGCCTATGACCGAATATTCAGTACAACAGTCCCTCTTGTGTGATATTGCTTAACAACATCTAGCATTGATTTAAAGGCAGCCTTTGAAGGGTGCATTCAAAGACTGATTGTTTCATCAAGTCAAAGCATGACCCATTTCAAAATGTCTTTAAATGCGTGCTCCTCTCCCCGCCAGATGAAAGATCCATTAGATGCATCATTCATGGCCCAAAATATATATTTTTTTTTACAGATTTATTTTGGGGGATTTCCGTTCATTTCATTGAACAGTGGATAGAGTAGGAAACCGGGAGACAGAGAGGGGAATGTCATGCAGTAAAGGAGCCGCGGGTTGGACTTGAACCTGGGCTGCCTAATTGGAAGGCTCTTGCCTCCGTACATGGAGCGCAACCTAAACACTAGTCCATCTGTGCCTCAACTGCAATTTTAAGTGTAAGCTGTTGGTGTAAACTCAATAACACAGGTAGCAATACAAATGTAAAAAAAAAAAAAAAAAAAAGAAGAAAAAAAAAAAGGAAATGAACGTGTACTTGAAACTTCAAGGTATCCTAAAAATAACAAGTGACGCGCATGATGTAGTTATGTTAGCTAGTAATGAAAAGGTAAGGGTGGGAACAGGTGGTGACACAAACGGTAAATACTCAATACATTAGTACTGTTCTGTACTGTACAGTTCTGCTTCAGTGAAAACTTAGTTTGATTTTTTTTTTTTATATCCTTTATTAATCCCAAAGGGAAATTTGGGTTTACACTCTGTTATTTTTAGGGACATGCTTCTCACACACATGGGCCAGAATCACACACATGCACAAACAGGACTTGTGGACACACGTTGGTGGAGAGATGTCAGAGTGCGGCTGCTACACACTATGCACACCAGAGCAGTTGGGGGGTTCAGTGCCTTGCTCAAGGGCACCTCAGCAGTGCTCGGGAGATGCCCTGGCACCTTTTCAGCGACCAGACCAACTTCCATATTATGGTCCGCACTGGGACTTGAACCTGCAACCCTCCAGTTCCCAACCCAAGTCCCTACAGACTGAGCTTCTGCCAGCCCTTTTAGTTTAGTTTGAACGTATGTCTAGTTTAGGACAGAGTTTACGCACTGGGTTTGAATCCCAAGCTTCTGCAGCCACACGTCCGATGTGACCTTGGGCAAGACAC